TTCGTCAGGGCGAATAGACACAGATTAGGGTAATACTAGATTACCTAATTGCTGAAGACTGCTGATATAGGAATTTTCTTCGACATACAGTAATGTTTTTTCTCGTAGTAATTCTGGTTTATAATTCATTTGGTAAAGCCAATATTACTACTGCTGCGAAACCGTCCCATTACACGCTGAAGATGTTTTCTAGATAATATATATCTATTCTTATAGTAGTTAGCAAAATACTATATAATATCGTCCTATTGCTGCCAAAAGTCACTAACTAACATTTTTCCGAACAACCAAATTCAATCACTAACTATGTTTTGAAGCGGAGAATCGATTGCAAAAGTCATTAACTACGATTTCTGGCTATTTATGTTTTATTTTAATACCGAATAGTTACTAACTATAACATCTTTATGCAATGCAATTCATTTTTAGACGCATTTTTCTCGGAAGTAATAAAAAGTAAGTTAGTGACTTTTGGCAGCAATGGGACGATATACATATAGTACTGAACCAAAAAATGTGGTTTTCTGTGCTTGTCCGTGTATATCAGTCACATTGACTAATTCATTTCAAGAAAATCTGTAACTATTATCACTACCATTTATACTCATTACAACAAATTAAATTCAAATTCAAATTTTGTTCTTAACTTGCTTAACAGACATGAAATTGTAATAATTAGTACTTTTTATCAAGGCGACTATGATGTTATAGCGCAATTGTATTAAAAATATGGGTAAAGATAGAAAAAATTGGAATAAATCGCAAACTAATAAAAATAGGTATATGACATACTTAATAAAAGTTGAAGAGTTATGTAAAATCTATCAGAAAAAATGATAATATATAGGGTGTACCATTTAAAAAAATTGAAATTTCTTGATTTTAAGTAGTTGAAATTCATAAATATATTTTGAACACCCTGTAACATCTAACTAAAATATCTTTACATAGGTCTTTTCCTATATCTCTATAAAATTATACTACCAAATGTTAGTTGTCTAACTTCAGAATCAATGCCATCAATGACAATTTTTTATCACACTGCAATCTAACATTTGTTTAAACAAATTTAAATATAACAAAAACTATTAACTTTAGGTATATAACATTATATATAAAAAAGTTATGAAATTTTACGCAGAATGTAAAAATGAAATAAAAATGGGGTGTTGCATTTAAAAAAACATATGTTATATTCGCCACACTTTTTTGAAGCACCCGGTATACTGTTTAATAATTTTAAAATGTGTATCTGAACCATCTCTACAACTTTTACATTTAATATTTTTTGTAAACCTCGAAACAAATGAGATAATGGACTTTACTCTATCGTTGACTCACCCTGTACAGGGTGGGTCAAATTCGACGCTTTTAAATGGAAACACCCTTTTCTATAGGAGATAGACGAAAACTAATATCGGTGTCTGGAGCCCAATTTTCATCAAAAACATGATGGTGAAAACCGCACATCAATATCTGTTACCGTTTCGAAGTTACGGGGTGTTTTTCAAAAATGTGCATTTTTAACAAATCGCTGTAACTTTTTTCCTATGGAAAATTTTGTATTTCTATGAAAACATTACCAAAGCACCTTTTTACGTAGAATTTTATGGTTTAAGCATATTTTTTTTTAAATTAATGATTTGAGAGTTATCAACAGAAAAACTGATTTTTTATTTGGGACACCCTCTATATTTTTAATTAACTGAAAAGAATTTAAAATTACCTTACCAAAAATATAGCACACTTGATATTTTGTTATAATCCCCCTCGAAATACAGAATTTTTAAAAGTTCGCCACTTTTAACTAGTAGGCTTTGGACGCCTTATTGATGATATGCCCTTAATGGAACTCGAAAACATATTTTTCCAGCAAGACGACGCACTGCCTCTGAACGCTGAAGTTATCAGCAAATTTTTGCAGTAAATTTCAAGAATAATTGAATAGCTAACCAAGATCCCAGCCGTTGGCCGTCGAGGCCGCCTAACTTAGTGCCCATGGATCTAATCCTATGGATATATTTGCGGAAGAATAAAGGTTCCTTATGCTTTCGTATAATCTAGACAAGAATTAGAAATACTTAGCAGTTATGAGAGGGTATCTTTCACCACCACCGAATTAATGAATTCCGCGAGAAATGTTCAAAAACTGCCCCGTTCTGTCCATAACAGAAGACGGTCGATATGTCGAACACCTGTAGCAAAATCTCATGTCTTGGTTTGCTATTTATTTTTATTGTTATTAGATATAGTTTAAATGTGTTGATGTTGGTTAAATATATTTTGAATTGTTATAAAATTCTGCATCTCTCATAGCAAATGTTATTTTCGTTTTAATTGATGCTCATAGCTAGAATTTTTTTGTATTACAGCCGGTGCCGTTCAAAGCCTACTTATTTAAAGCGGGCGAATTTCTATATACTCTATATCTCGAAGAGGAATCGAGCAAAATATCAAGTGTGTTATATTTTTGGAGAGGTAATTTTAAATTCTTTTCAATAAATTAAAAATATACAGAGTGTCCCATATAAAAAATCAAATTTTCTGTTGATAATTCTTAAATTATTAATTTAAAAAAAAAATTTATTTTAACAATTAAATTCTACGTAAAAAGGTGCTTTGGTAATGTTTTCATAGAAATACAAAATTTTCCATAGGAAAAAAGTTACAGCGATTTGTTAAAAATGCACATTTTTGAAAAACACCCCGTAACTCCGAAACGGTAACAGATATTGATGTGCGGTTTTCACCATCATGTTTTTGACAAAAATTGAGCTCCAGACACCGATATTAGTTTTTGTCGATCTCCTATAGAAAAGGGTGTTTCCATTTAAAAGCGTCGAATTTGACCCACCCTGTACATTCTATAAATTGGAAGGACGCGCTGAAGACCTTTAAAGGCGCGTATTCTCCAAGCCCCGCATAATAATTATAAACATTTATATACTATATAAATGTGTTATAAGTATATAGCTTATAAACTAAAACGTTTATAAACAGTTTGCGTGATCGATGTATATCAACAAATACACATAAGCGACGTTTCTCTAAGTTCAGCTCTTTAAAATTTAGATAAAAAAATAGGTACTGACTGGAACCATATTAGTGGATAGATGTAGACTTTAGAATGTTTAGGAGGGGGATTAATCACAGCGACTTTACAGATTTATTGTTTGTTCCTCTTTCTTGAGTTATAACGAGTTATAACTCATCATAGAGTCTCAGGGCTTTGACAAAATCCAAGAGCTCCAAAGAGGCCAGCTTTCCATCTCCGACATACCAAAGCTTATGGCACGAGTGGTTGTCGTCTCGGCGCAGTCAGTGATAAGGTGTTCTGGTGTTTCCTCATTTTTCTCACAGAATCTGCATTCGCTGTTTTTTCTCAGCTATAATTTACTGAAGTTTTCGTTGAGAAGACAGTGTCCTGTTAGAAACCCCATAAAAATCCGAAGATTATCCTTACTTAAATCAAGAAAAATCTTTGATTTTTGTCGGTTGTAAGTTCTGAGAAACTTTTTCGAGTGTCTTAGACCGTTGGAGAATTCCCATTCCAGGTTATGGATGGAGTCTTCCATGTTCTTGAGTTTCACTTTAAGCTGGTTTCCGCTTGGAAAGCATAACGGTCCTGGTCCAGTTAGTGGGGAGTGTTCGCTCTTTTCTAGCTAGATCGTTTGCTTTTTCATTGCCTTCTATCCCTTGATGAGCGGACACTCAGAGTTGAAGGACTTTTTCTTTGCCTAATTTGCATAAAATTTTGCCTAGTGGATAGATATAAGTGAAATCCAAAATTGTGGGATCCGAAACACGGTTTACGAGTATATCACATTAAAAATACTTTTTCTAAGAAAATGTCACTATTTGATTTTATATCTGTCAAAGGTTTAGAAAAAAAAATGGAACTTTTTTTAAGTATTCTTAAAAGATTTTTTGATACACTCAACTGCTGTAAATATTGAACGATCTTCATATATTATCCTTTATTGCAATATGCTAATATCAACATACATTATTATACAGCACATCATTCTCAAGATGATTTTTACTTTTTTCTCGATAACTCGCTGACTCAGAAAATTACAAGAGACAACTTTTATGTGGAAAACGAATGTGGAAATTCTTGCAAATGCCGAAAAAGCGTATCTCTATCATCTCTAAAAAAATGAAAACTAAATAATATTATCAATAAATTGGAACGTGTTTTGATTTTTTTAAGAAATAATTCAACCATAATTTCATGTTTTGGTTTCTCTACCATTTTCTTTATAACGGTATCAAATTTGGAAAAGTATAAACTGGATTAGAAATTTTAGAACAAGCAAAAAATTTAATGAATATTTTTTTTCTTAAAAATTTTTTTTAAATAATCATTTATAGAAAATTAAAATTTAAGTCCATATAATTGACTCACCCTGTACTATATCTGCAAAATATTTTTAAAAAACGCACTACCATTGGCTACATATTTTTTTGAGGGTTTGGATAGAAAATCTCAAATAATAATCTGAGAACCTTTTTTGTTTGATGTTGATTGATAGCAACAAATTTTAATGAGTAAACTTCTAATATATCTTATAACAATATAATCCAAAAGGTTTTGAACAATTCTTTCAAAGTAATTTGATTTCGAAGTTTTTATACCTCCAAGACACCCTCCACTAGTATTCAATAACTAAAGTATACTCATAACATTTTGAATGTTATTCCCGATATTACATATTTTTACAATATTCTATTAAAATATCAATTTCAATTTAAACTAAATGTAGCTATCATACACACATAGAAAAAATAGTGAGTCTGTGCCCATATACACATAGAAAAAATAGTGGGTCTGTGGATTTATTTTTAGAGTGCTAAGGAAGACAATGTAACTCTAAAATTCTAGGACAAAATATGATAAATATAACTTCTTAAATATACGAGTACATAACATTTAATGGACATCAATAAAAATACGCTTATTAATTGCATAATAAAGATTTATAAAACTTTTTGTTTACCTTGAGACAACCACTGTTATAAACAGCAGACTCCAGAGCGATCCGCGAAATAAAAACGCCATCTGGACGATCTTGACCATTCCCTTCTCTAATATACAAACCCAAGGTTTGTCCAGGTCTTTTGACAATCTCCACGAACTGCACCTATAAAAAGTAAAGACATATTAAGTAAAAATATTCCAAAGTAAACATTTTATTATAAAATATATCTATAGCTTTCTTAAAAAATAGATATAATTTTGATGATATCAAAATTTCTCAGTTTTATTCAGATGTAGTCAAGAACCTCAAAAATGTCTCTTTATTAATTAAAGGCTCATTTCACACTAGAGGTAAACAAAAATATTCGAATCTCAATCGCCTTGGTAACTGGAATAATTCTAAAATGTTTATAAAAAAGATCCAGAAAAATGATCCACAAACAAGTTTCAAGAATGAATTGAAAAACCCAAAATACTTTGTTTAACAAAGTTTGTTATTGTTTCTAAAGGCAGGAAGACTATATTTTATTTGCAAGGTTTGTTCAGTGTGTCAATTAGAGGTAGGCAAAGATTGAATGAGTCGTCCATTTGAATGAGTATTAAAAATGAATCGTGAGATTCGATTCATTGCTTGTAAGATAGTTCATTCAAATGAATCGTGGTCAGCACGGATCCATAAGATTTGAACGATGAGCCGTAAAAAAGAATCGTGAGAATTGAATCGGGTCACAATGCGACCGTGCGTTCAAAGAGTCGTGAGAATTGATTCATCGCTTAAAATACGGTTCGTTCAATTGAATCGTGACCAGCATGGATCCATAAGATTTGAAAGATGAGCCGTAAAAAAGAATCGTGAGAATTGAATCGGATCACAATGCGATCGCTCGTTCCTACGGCGCGGCGGCGCGGCGGCGCGGCGGTGATATAGGCAGAAATGCAGGCACCAATATTTAGACTTGAACAAAAGCCCTAAACAAACATCATGGGCATAAAATGCAAACGATAAGAAAGTTATTTACAAGAAAAAAACTTATTTATACTGTGCTTAGTACGGGAGTATCTGTAACGTTGATATTTTTGTTAAAATAATATTACCGACTATTAAATGTCGGACTAAAAGACAAAATCGTGTTTTTATGCAATAAATATTGTTGGTCTCTGCTCAATGTGATAAAAAACGGCGTCAGCGATGGTTATAAAATGAAGATCACTGTCATTTTATATGCAAAATTATATGGGGAATGTCATCTATGTTCATTTCCAAGCCAACTGGACGCCATTTTTTTTCGATCATGCGGTATTCTATACTGTTGATTATGATTATATTAAATCGGAATTAAAATATGGCTCTAAAAATATTAAATTGGTATTAAGAAGTCTTTAATAAATAGTATATATAAATTGGATTGATAATTTAATATCAGGTATTGGTAAAATAATCAATCCAGTTACGCCAGTGTCATAAGTGTCGAAAAACAAATGAAAGAACTGTATATTATTTCTTTTTCTGGTCTCTTAAGTAATTTTCCTATCAAATTATTGCCGGTAGGGCCAGACGATTCTTGTTTTTATGAAACGTAAATTGTGCATGTGGTTCGTTCAAATGAACGAATCGTAGTAGTCAATATGAGAGATTGAATCGACTGATTTGATTCTCTAAAAAGAATCGTAATGTACAGGGTGGGTCAAATTCGACGCTTTTAAATGGAAACACCCTTTTCTCTAGGAAAAACATAATGGTGAAGACCGCACATCAATATCTGTTACCGTTTCGGAGTTACGGGGTGTTTTTCAAAAATGTGCATTTTTAACAAATAGCTGTAACTTTTTTGCTATGGAAAATTTTCTATTTCTATGAAAACATTTTCAAAGCAGCTTTTTACGTAGAATTTAATGGTTTAAGTATAATTTTTTTAAAATTAATAATTTAAGAGTTATCAACAGAAAAATTGATTTTTTATTTGGGACACCCTCTATATTTTTAATTAACTGAAAAGAATTTAAAATTACCTTTCCAAAAATATAGCACACTTGTATTTTGTTATAATCCCCTTCGAAATACAGATTTTTTAAAAGTTCCCCACTTTTAACTAGTAGGCGTTGGACCCCTTATTGATGATAAGGTCTTAATGGAACTTGAAAACATATTTTTCCAGCAAGACGACGGACGCACCGCCTCTGAACGCTGAAGTTATCAGCAAATTTTTGCAGCCAATTTCAAGAATAATTGAATAGCTAACCAAGAACGCAGCCGTTGGCCGTCGAGAGGCCGGCCGCCTCACTTAGTGCCCATGGGTCTAATCCTATGGATATATTTGCGGAAGAATAAAGGTTCCTTATTCTTCCGTTTAATCTAGACAAGAATAATTAGAAATACTTAGCAGTTATGAGAGGGTAACTTTCACCCCCACTGAGTTAATGAATTCCGCGAGAAATGTTCAAAAACTGCCCCGTTCTGACCATAACAGAAGACGGTTGATATGTCGAACACCTGTTGTAGCAAAATCTCATGTCTTGGTTTGCTATTTATTTTTATTGTTATTAGATATAGTTTAAATGTGTTGATGTTTGTTAAATGTATTTTAAATTGTCATAATAAAATTCTGCATCTCTCATAGCAAATATTATTTTCATTTTAATTGATGCTCACAGCTAGAATTTTTTTGCATTACAGCCGGTGCCGTTCAAAGCCTACTTATTTAAAGCGGGCGAATTTTTATATACTCATATCTCGAAGAGGAATCGAGGAAAATATCAAGTGAGTTATATTTTTGGAAAGGTAATTTTAAATTCTTTTCAATAAATTAAAAATATATAGGTTGTCCCATATAAAAAATCAAATTTTCTGTTGACAATTCTTAAATTATTAATTTAAAAAAAAGTATACTTAAACCTACGTAAAAAGGTGTGTAATTCTACGTAAAAATGTGCGTTGGAAATGTTTTCATAAAAATACAACATTTTCCATAGCAAAAAAGTTACGGCGATTTCTTAAAATTGCATATTTTTGAAAAACACCCCGTAACTCCGAAACGGTAACAGATATTGATATGCGGTTTTCGCCATCATGTTTTTGACAAAAATTGAGCTCCAGACACCGATATTAGTTTTTCTCTATCTCCGATAGAAAAGGGTGTTTCCATTTAAAAGCGTCGAATTTGACCCACCCTGTACATCGCTAGTGTGAATGCAGTAGATTTAGGTGATTTGACTGCACGCGACTGAACTTGGCTGATTCGAATTGAGCCTAGTGTCAAGAGTCAAAACTCTTAAATGAGTTAGGTTAAAACGATATAGGACACTTTTTATTTCCCATTTTTAAAGTATAACAGTACAGATGTATGTATGTGCCTCAGCTTGTACTAATTATAATTAACTGTATAAATCATTTTGAAACTTAGGAAAATAATCCAACATAACTTACTTGATGTTTGGCATCTTGCATAGCAAGAAACCGTTTGGCTTGTTCTACTGCCGATCTGCCTAGATGACGTGCATCTAGAATTCGAACGATCATCTCACCACGTCGTTCCACGTGCTAAAAATAAAAGAGAATAGAGTGAAACATCTTATAGACACATCGCTAATTGTAAAACTGATGATACAATAAATGTAAATGGCAAAAATGGTAAAAAATATCATGTTGTTTTTTTCGGTGTAGGAATGTGAAAAAGGATTCACGCCACATGGGCAAATAAATCGACCGTTGGCTGGCGGTAAACGTGCGGAGTAAAACGTGGGAGGTAACGTAATTATTAGGTTGTCAATGGTCAGCGAGGCGAATAAATCAGCATTTCGCACGAAACCGCTATTTCTAGAACGGAATCGAAATCGTCTCGCTTAACATCGAAAATAAAAGAATCCGCCGGATTCCGGTAGTGTTTAACCTATTCCCTTTTATTGCTCCCTTTATTTTTTCTCTTTATTTCATTATAATGTGCATTATATGCATAATATTACAGAACTGCAATAACATAAATTAATTAATTAAGTTCTTAACGAGGGTGGGCACAAGAAAGAAACTTAATTGTAGTCTGTTCAATGCAAGGGGCCATCGTACATGACAAGGACAGTTGTGTCTAACATTTTAATTCATAAGTAAAGGCTATTTCTGTAATTTTTTGGATATTGTCTAGGCTATTTTTAACAGTAACCATCAATTCGAAGTTGGCCAAAGAATACCTACAAAAGCTGAACAAATTATGCAAAGAAAATAAAATCGCCGTACTCTGGGAGCAAGCGCGACAAGGAATAGAAGGTAGCAAAAAATCAAACGATCTAGCTAGAATAGGAGCAAATACTCCCCCACTAACTGAACCAGAACCATTCTGCTTACCAAGTGAAAACCAACTTAAAACAGAACTCAGGAACCGAAGACTCCATCCGTAACCTGCGATGGGTATCCTCCAACGACATAAGACACTCAAAGAAATCTAACCGAGAAAAATTAAACATTTCCCTTGATTTAAGTAATAACAATCTTCGGACTGTCACGGGATTTTTAACAGGCCACTGTGATCCTCAATGAACACCTCAGTAGATTGAAGCTAAGAAACAACGACGAATGCAGATTCTGTGGAGAAAATAGGAACACCAGGGCCCGGTACCCTGGAACAATCTGGAACTTCGACATGAAAACGTTATGCTTTCAAAGCGGTAAGCGAAAGTATTCGATTAATGGCAGTATTCGATTAGCAGCAGTCGATTTTGGTATTCTCGTTGCCGTGCGAATCGTTTTCTGGATACACGCTCAGCACATATATTGGCAGCATCGCAATTTCTCAGGCATCTAATAGTCAAATGTGGATAAAACAATGGAAAATGTCAATGTTACGTAAATTTCATAACCTATTGTTGAGTTATGTTATGGTTATGTCAACCTATTTTTCTGTGGATATGTCTTATTCTTATTATGGAGGGAAATGTTGAAGAGGTTTCTCAGCATTTTCGATGTTTTGAACAATATGTATAGCTGCCAAGTCGTAAATTATCAATTTCTTATTGAGGAATTTATAGAAGAAGTAGTTTTCACTAAAGAGCAAGAGAACGCACAAAATCACGATTGATCACTGAAAGTTCGACAAGCTAAACGATCCTTTAAGGCAACCGTTTTCAAATCGCTTGGCGCAATCAATAAAGACGCTAACCCCGTTAGATGAGAATACCCAAATCGGTAGTTAAGTAAAAGTAGCTAAGTAGTCGGTAGTTACCTAAGTAAAAGTAGCTAAGCGAAAATTAACGTCATATACGCTGAGCGTCTAAAGGCGCTTGGTGTTTTCTAAGTTACGTTAAGTTAAGAGTTCGACCCCGAACACCTCCTCACGGAATACGCCGAGGCGACAACCATTCATGCCATAAACTTTGGTACGAGTGATATCGGAGATAGAGAACTAACCTCTTAGTCTAAGATTCGGCTGCAGGATTATTACGGTCATCATATTTTTAATCAAAACCTAATTTTAACTTTAAAATTAAAGACCATTGTGGTGGTAAAATCTTAATTGCAGTTAGGTACCATTGCGACAAAAAAAACAAAAACAAAAAAAAGTAGTACAAGAATTCGTAGTCCCAGATAGAACTCCTGGTCTATAAGGATATCGAGAAGTCGATATCGTCGTCACTATGAAAACAATAAAATTATGCCACCTAACTTTTTAGGCGTTAACAAGGATTTGGTAATAATTGGTAGGTATACGTGGTGAAATAAAAGTATAACAAATTTACCTACCTTTTAAAAATGGGCAATTTTTAATATTTTATTATAGACCAACAATTAAATCATATTTTGTTGTACTACTTATTTTTATCGCAATGGTACTTATTACTTATTACATTCCCTTCTATTGACGCCATGCTACGCCGCTGACTGGAATGGAAATTCAATTATCTGTGAATGAAAATGACAGCTAGTGAGTGAGTCATATGCCATTTGCAACATAAATTAGGTAGTTACTACGCTTTATCTACGACCACATACCTACGTAAAACAATTAAATCCTAAATTTATATTAAATAATGTTAGGATTCCTTGAATTTGACTATTACTGGGACTGATCTGTTGTCAAACATAATATAAAAGAAAAGCTTGGTCTTTGCTTCATATTATTCATTGCTTCATTGATTGTCTTAAGCCGTTTATAATTATTGTGTAAGGGTATTTCGAATAAAGAAATGGGTTTCAAAAGAATACTGGAAAAATAAAACATCACGCCTATATTAAAAAATAAAGCTTATGATGGTTTCTGACAACCAAAACTTGGTTAAAACAAAGATATTTAAACTCGAGTTTAAATATCTTTGGTTAAAAGCCTTTTGTTAAAACGCTTATAAAAATTTATTTCGTTTTAATATAAAAAATAGAAATTGGAATTGGGCAAAAATACACAAATAAATTACTCGGCTTAATTGCGACCGCACCAATAACAATTCCAAACAAATCGAACGAGCGGACAGACATTATTAAAATGGAATTAGTTTTGAAGCCAGTTTTTCCAGGACGTATTTTATCGACATTGCGGCAGCGATATGTCATTCAAATATTCAACGCAACATTTTGTCCATCGCCAGAACACGAAAGCCGTTCCCCAAGGTCCGATAAAATTGTAATTCCCTTTCCGTCAACCTGTAATGGAAATATGCTTGGCATATGCTGATTGTTATTAGCCTTTCCTAACAAGTAACAGAGGGATAAAGAGTGTAATCACCAAAGGCTAAACCGTTTTCAACAAAAAATATTCTGAAGAGAAAACTAAACGTCGATGATATACAAAAAAATATTTATATTAGATATATTCTTTTAATATAAAAAAATATTAATAATTAAAAAAATGTTTTCAGCCTTATCTATTAATATTTCTGAAACATATTTAATATCTTAAGATTAAATTATCCCAATCCACTCACACTTTTTTGTAGAAGTCAAAGTATTTTTCTAAAATACATCCTAACACATACTTTAGGTTGGCACTTATACAAAAATCCTAAGTCTTTTATTATAGGAGCTACAGATGGCCGACGTACTGTTGCCGGGTCCATAGGAAAAACTTTGAACAGTGGCAATCCCTATTTGCGGCAACTTTTTGATAGGCACCCTCATAACATCATACACAGAATAAGAATAGCTTTCATCTGACATACAAATGATCAAAAACTTTGAGCGTAATGTGGTCTCCAAAGTCAGTTATTACCAAATACGTTTAAATAAAATATACGATGGCCTCCCCATAAGAGCAATTAGAGGATTTACGTCCCAGTATTGAAGGAGGATAGAAAATCGAGTCGAATAGTTTCAAGACATAGGTTCATCCTTGTTTAGTCAAACCTCCTACAACACAAGGATAGACTTATGTAAGAAATGCATTGAAATTCTATAGCCATCCTTCAATATCGGGACCGGAATTTAAGCGGTACCCTCCGTATACTTTATTTTAAACGTATTTGGATATTACTATTATTAATTAAACAAAGTTGCGGCAACTTTTTGGCACTCTGTTAAAAGTGTTTCTCCTATTCATAAACATACGTAAAAATTATGTTTTGATTAAAAATACGATGATCGTAATAATCCTGCAGCTAGATCTTAGACTATAATATGACATATTGATATGGCATTAAATTATCTACCTGATGAACGTATTTCTACAAATTGAGATTGAGATATAAATTAATCAACATTTTGTGAATCGTTGCGTTGCAATCCGCTCGCTACTACTTCAACGCCACATCTTAATAATTTATCAATTTTATCCATGAATAACATACGACAATTTCATTTATATAGTGACATTTATGTATCGAATTTTAACTACAAAACAGCCTTCCTATTTGTTCTCAGTGCTCATGCTCATTCGACTAGGCAAGTGCACTAATTTAAAATTCATGAATACCGAACAGCTAACTTCCAAAAATCTTACAGTTTCATAGCGCCACATTTGTGGAATAATATTTCTAATTACTTTAAATTTCAATCCTTTACACATTATAAGAAACACATTAAAATTCGTTTACTGAATTCGCAAAAATTATAGTTTTTTACTGATTTGTGAGGTTCTTGTTGTTCCCGAGTTTACACTGTTTCGTCCTGCCTATCTGTTTATCTCCGCTCATTCCTGATGAAATAATGTTTTCAGTTTCTTTTTAATTTTATATTTTCAAATTTAAGTTATTTTTGTTTTTGTAATTTATCTTTCGAAAGATCACAACAATGCTATAAAAATGGGAAAAGAACTATTGGAATATGTAGCGGAATTCAATTACCTAGGCAGTTTGATTTCGGAACAGGTCAAATATCGACTCTGAAATTCAGCACAGAATTAGCAGCGCCTCAAGAGCACTCTGGAAATTAAAAGACAGGATTTTCTACAATCATGACTTAAGCACAAAAACGAAACTTGCAGTGTACCGAGCAATAATAATCCCCACTATGTTATATGGAAGCGAAACCTGGGTGCCGTACCGCCGACATATGCATTAAACAAGTTGCAACAGAGACACCTTAGACAACTCTTAAGAATAAAATGGTTCCATCATGACTCAAAT